TTTCTTTGTATTTTGCAGATTCTCTTCAACCAGTCATCTGTGATGAAATCTCCCCACCCCAAGGAATTCAGTTACATCTGATTTTGACAGCTTGTTATGGTATCTTGAAATTAAAGTAAAATCCGTGACAAAAATAATAGAATAGGAAATTTTACTAGATGGAGACTAACAGGAACCAGATTCTGAAATTTATATTTGAGTTTCAAGATGCCACAACTCCTTTGAGAGTTCCAACGAAACTGGACAGAGAAGAGAGTACATTGGCCCATCTATTGCTTTGGACTGATGGATCCGGGTAATCCCTGTAGGTTTCATGAAAGTTACCGCAGTTAATCCTTTAAGAAAACAATCTCAGAATATGCCAACAGTGAACAAACAAATAGGATTTCAATGTTAAAAATTAACCACTGTTTTTCTCGTTATATAGAAGAGGAACACTGATTCACCATTCACTGATTCTCTCACTACTTAAAGAGCAAGATAATACAGAATAGTACAAACACAGTATACATAGCACATATTACATACACTGCATGTAATCCTGAATGCATTGCATGCACATTACACTGACTGTATTAGCCAGACAAAATGTACTGCACACAGTATGAACAAACAAAATGAGCTCCATGATTTCACAGGGTGGGGAACAAAACCACACTACTTATGTTGTCATTAGGAGTTATTTCACTGAAGCAACACACAGGTAAAATGTTATGATATGGTGCAAAGATGAGTGAAACATTATCACAAGTTAAATTCATCCAAGAAATGAACAGAAGTATCCATAAGTACTAGTTATGAATTTAAACAAACAAAAAAAAAACTAACAAAAAAACAAACCACAAAAACAAAAACCAGAACAACTTAAATCATACAAAAACAGAACTCCAAACCACAAAACAGAAAAGGTGCAGAAATAAATGTATAGAAGCTCTTAGATGGCACTAATAATGTTACACCTATGAGTTCAAATATCTTACAATTTAGTTAAAAATAATATACCAGGCATGAAATATACTGCATGTAGAAATAGCATGACTGACACTAAATTTATTATGCTATTTTCTTATTCTTACAGCGTTCATATTAGGTATAGAACCTCAGCATATTTAATAAATAAATAGACAATATATTTGGTGTATTTCTACAATCCTGTTTTGAACAAATATTTATATTGCTAGTTAGCATTTTTCAATATAGTGACAGTGTTTTCACAAGTTAAATAATGGTAATTTATTTACAAATACAGAGGAATCTATGATTTAGCAGAGGGTACCCCACAACTGAGATACAACAAGTTTATAAAATTTTTGGAGGTTTAAAATCATGTTTCTCCAACTTCAAAACTAAGGTTCTTCAATGAAATCTAAGCAGGATAGTAATGCTCCTGGAGCATTTGTTGATGCATATCTGTTGCAGCACTAGTGTACTATAAACATGGTGAATATGTTTTCTCTGCTGAACGAAAAGAGCATAAGACAGGTAGAGCAGGTTGTCCTAAAGTCAATGAGCATATGTGAGTTTTCCACTCGTGAAACAAAGCTGGATGTGACATCAACTAAAGGAAAGGACTTCCACTTAACTTTTCCTCCCTCTATGGTCTGGTCTTCAGTACGGCTGAAAAAAGGATTAACCCAAACAGTATGAGGGATTCAAGCTTAATTAGAACATCTGTATGTGTTGGACACACCACAGATGCACTCAGTAAAGGCCATGTCGGGTATGACTTGATTTTTGTGCTACCATGATGTTCGGTGTTTCTGTGACTTTACAGACTCAGTAGGGAAAAGCAGAAAAGTCTCTTGTCATCAAAACCATAAGGAACATTCTGCTTAATGTGATACTAGCTCAGGAGACCAGAATTTCCACATTAAGAACAAACATGTATCAATCACGTTAATGTCCACATACATACCATCCAAAATAACGTCCCTGTGGCAAGAGCTGCATACTGTTCAATTGTAGAAAGCACACTGAAGATAAGGCATATCAGCACAATAAGGAAGCTGTAAATGAAAAGAAATTAAAAAATTAAAATAATGCGATGTAGTGTAGTAAGGATCTATAGGGAGGACAGATAAGTATGGCATTACAAATGATCTATCCACACAGAAATGTCATTGGTATTGGATTATCTCAAAATACAGCTGGTAACTTTTGCATGATCCTGCTTGAACAGTTTATTCCTCAGACACTGAGGTTTTGGGTTGGATATATTAAATGAAGCTAAACTATAGCACTAGCTTTAGCCTCCCTCTAAGATTTGCTGTTTCCTAGCTCCTCAGGAAATAGCATTCCTTGTTCTTTCCCATTGTAAGGACTACTATGGCTGAATCACCACATAACACC